CCTCGCTGGCCGTTGCCATTCGGTGGCCCAGCCTGGCAGCGTCCACCCCCTGGCCAGTCATGTGCCTGGCAGCGTGTGGGGGAAGGGGGCCGGCGCGCCTCTGGCCCAAGCCGTGGGGCTGCCCTCGTACTCCCTGCGTTCCGGGATTGGCCACTGAGGTGGGAAGGCGAGGCCTGTCCCCAGGGGGGGCTCCCAGAGGTGAGGAGCCCTGGCTGCCTCCGCTGGTCAGGCACACAAGTGGCACATTGTGTGGGCCCCCCACGTGTGCACACACGAACACACACATACACAATGGGCCACTCTGTCCCTCCCCCTTCCATCTTTTCCCCTCCCCTCCCTTCCCCTCCCTTCCCTTCCCCTCTCTTCTCTGCCCCTCTCTTCCCTTCCCAACCCTCCCCTCCCCACCCTCCCCTCTAGGCTGGGCCTGGAACACTGGGTGCCTGAGCCAGGCATGGGAAGCCTGCGGCCTGGGCTGCCTGGCGCCGCCGCTGGACACACTGCATGCACACCCCATGCCTGCTCGCCCGCCCCAGCCCAGCTTAGCAACAGCGATGGGCACGCATGTCCTGCGACTGCAAAGCAGCACCGGGCTTGGTGGGAAGCCAGTGACTGGGTGATGGGTGGGAAACTGAGGCCCAGAGTGAAGGCCTTTGCCCAAGGTCACACACAAGAAGGATGCTGGAACCAAGAGCCAAGCAAGCTGCAGTGAAGCCCAGCTTTGGAGTAGTGGAGAGAGCTGGGCCAGGACCAAGGGTAGGAGGCCTGTGCAGGAGGGAGTGCCCAGGGGCTACTGGGGCCCAGCTCCCTGCACCCCCACCCCTGCTCCTGTAGTCTCCGGTCCTGCCCTGCCTCCAGAGCCAGGTGGCCTCCCCCATGATGTCTCCCTCTGTCCTTGCTCACTGACATTTTCAGACACCCCCCCCCACACACACACACACAGACACACACATACACACACACACACATACACTGGCAGAGGACTGCACCCGCCCATCATGTTCCCTGGACCTTCCCACTTGTAGGCCAGTGTGTGGGTACAGGGAAGGCAGGGCTCCCTGCCCTCACCCAAGCCAGGCAGGCCTCCAGGCTTGAGTGCCAGCCATGGCGCACATACACACAGGCACGAACATGCCCTCGCTGCCTTTCCTTCCTGTATCGCCTGGCAAACAAGGAACTGTGACACAAGGGATGGCGTGTGTGTGCAAGCACATGTGTCCTCCATAACCATTAAGTCGCCCTTGGTGACCATGGAGGCAGAAGCCTTGTGGTCCAGGGAGCTGAGCCACAGCCCCCCTCAACACTCCAACCCCCCCAGGACTGTTCACCTGGGACCTCTGAGTCAGTGGCCACCCGCTGCACTGATTCACCCAGTGGGAAGTTATGATGGGGCTGTGGTGGAGCCTGGAGCTGGGGCTTCCCCCAGCCTCCCAGGGCCTCTGGAAGCTGGATTGGCCGCAAGCCTCCACAGCCTGGTTGTGGAGTTTGGGTCAAGCCCCTGGCCTGTGTGTCCTCCCTCAGGTGTGTTCCTTATTCCCTACATCCTGATCGCCCTGATTGGAGGAATCCCCATTTTCTTCTTGGAGATCTCGCTGGGCCAGTTCATGAAGGCCGGCAGCATCAACGTCTGGAACATCTGCCCCCTGTTCAAAGGTGAGCAGCCCTGGGCCAGCCCCTCTCTGCTCTCTCCCTTGGCCACTCTTTCCCTTTCCCACTGCTGGGACAAGGCTGGCACCCACTTGAGAAATCGCATCCTGTCTGAGCACCAGGCCTGGGGCCCATTGATGACCCCCCAAGACACGAGGGAAAGCTGGACACCATGCAGACCACCATGTGACCTTGGGCAGGCTAAGGGCTAGAGGGGGGATTGGGCCTGTCCGCCAGGGGGAGGATGCGCAGGCCCAGCAGGGCTGGGAACACACTCGGCTAAGCTCACTCGGCTCACTGAGTGGAGGGCGGCTGGTGCAAGAGACAACCATGGGAGGAGCGGCCTGGGGCCAGCTCTCTGAGGCCAGAGGGCCAGGCTAAAGGGCTTGGATGGGAGCGATTGAAAGTTCAGGGTCTGAATGGAAGAACTAATAATGGCAAAGGTCACCTTAGAACCCCTTCTGTGCGTGGGTGGCAGTGTCCCCATCATCTCTCTAGGCCCTAGCAGGTAGGTTTCACTATTACTGTCTTTGAGGCTGGGACACAGAGAGGTGAAGTGACTAGCTGTGACTGCCTGCTGAAAGGAAGTGTGAGATAGTCACCCTCCAAATCCAGGTCTAGCAGCCTTCCCCCTTGAGGGGGAAAACCCCAGGTCACCAGATAGCCCCCCAAGTTGCTGAGTACTGTAGGCCATGGCGGGCGGGGGGGGGGGGGCGGGAGCAGGTGGAGATAGTGAGGCCCAAGAGAAGAGGCAGGTGTGTGAGGCTAGGCAATCAACAGGACTTAATGCTCAGATGGGGCAGGAGCGGAGGTCTGGGGAGGATGCAGGTGAGGCCAGGAGCAGGGGCTTTGGGGCCAGGGACAGACTGGGGAGTTAGCCCAGCATTGGGACTCTTACGCAAGGGATAGTCCACGGGGCTCTGTCTGGAGCACGACAGAGAAAGACGTAATGGGATGGAAGGTGGGGAGGGGGTGGACGGTGGATGCAGGGAGCAGGATGTTATGGGTGGTGGAAAACCTGCACAGAAACTGCCCTCCTCCTAGGCCTGGGCTACGCCTCCATGGTGATCGTCTTCTATTGCAACACCTACTACATCATGGTGCTGGCCTGGGGCTTCTACTACCTGGTGAAGTCCTTCACCACCACGCTGCCCTGGGCCACGTGCGGCCATACCTGGAACACTCCCGACTGTGTGGAGATCTTCCACCACGAAGACTGTGCCAATGCCAGCCTGGCCAACCTCACATGTGACCAGCTTGCTGACCGCCGGTCCCCTGTCATCGAGTTCTGGGAGTAAGTCAGGTGCCTCTGGACCAGGCCCAGCCCGGGCCTCTCTCTGGGCTCCGCACGCCGAGTCTGCGTGGGTTGGGTGGGACCCAGCCCCGGGGGGATTCCCGGCAGGAGTCACTCCTGGGCCCGGCCTGCCCCCGGGGGACCCCCGGGCCAGTCCCTGGGGGAGCCGGGCGGGATGGGCCTGGTGTTTTCAGCACCCTTTCTCACTCCGGGTGCTGTCACTCCGCGGTGCCTGACCAGGGGAAGGGGAACGACCGCTCTGTGTGCTAGGGTAGCCACGAGCCCCACCACCGCCGTCCAGGGGCTCCCGGGCTCCAGGCACACACACTGCGTGGCCTCCAGGTGACAGGCTTGGGCCCGGGCCTCGCCCAGGTGCTCAGGAGGGACCAGCTGGACACCGGGGCTGCAGGAGCGGGAGCACCAGCCCTGGGACAGCTCCCAGTGGCTCTGCCCTCTGCTCACACGCCCTCGTGGGCCCTCCCTCCCCAGGAACAAAGTCTTGCGGATCTCCAGGGGACTGGAGGTGCCAGGTGCCCTCAACTGGGAGGTGACCCTGTGTCTGCTGGCCTGCTGGGTGCTGGTCTACTTCTGTGTCTGGAAGGGGGTCAAGTCAACAGGAAAGGTACAGCTGGAGGCGGGCAGGCTGGGGGTGATGGCAGGGCTGGGGGGCAGCACTGCCTGGGGGGGGTCCTCTGCCAGGAACCACTGTTGCAACAGGTGACTGGGCCAGGGCCTAGGCCTGAGGAGGGGGCAGGTCCTTCAAGCCAGGCCACGTGACCCCCACCCCATGGGTGGGTAGTCCTCCCTACCCTCCAAATCCAGGTCTAGCAGCCTTCTCCCTTGAGGGGGAGAAGCCCAGGCAGCAGCTGCCCTTCCCCTGTGTTGGGCATCCCCGGCCCCTCCCTCCTTCCTCGTTCCTCTCCATTCCTCACTCAACACCTGAGTCTGTTTGGACAGTCTGGGTGGACCTGCTGTATGGCTCTCTTGCCTGCCTGTCTGGCCCAGGGTCGAGTCTAGACACATGCCTTCCCCAGAAGCTCGCTGTCAGGTTCGGGAGACAAATGTGTGAACAGGCGCATAATAAGACAGTGTGCCGAGGGCTGTGGGACATGGCCAGGTCCCTGGAGGGCTGGCTCGTTCCCCAGCAGGGTCTGAAGAGCAGCCGCTTCCCGAGCTGGCGGTCCCACTTGGATGGAAGGCAGAGGCTTTTGCCGTCCGTCCGTTTCACTCTTGCCCGTCTCTGGCTGGCCCACTTCTAATCCCAGCTCCCGAGGACCCCGCCTCTCTGCAGAGGATGACCTGGACCTGCCTCCAGGCTGCTGTCCCACTCTCTGCCCGGGGAGGGCCCTGCCTCTCCCCTCCCTCTGCAGCCGACCTGCGCTTGCCATGGGGCTGCTAACGCCCAGCCAAGCACCTGGCTTCCTTTGGAAGGAGCCATGGCTCTGGGGAGTCTAAGGGGGGGCTGCTGGCTGGCTCATTCCTTACCTCTGAACACACTGTCCAGTGGTGGGGGACCGTGGCCTGCCCTGCTCAGGCTGCTCAGGCCGGGGCCTCTCAGGGGGAGGTGGGTGCTGCCGGGCCCCTCTGAACAGCATGGCCCCCCAGATCGTGTACTTCACCGCTACGTTCCCCTACGTGGTCCTCGTGGTGCTGCTGGTACGGGGAGTGCTGCTGCCTGGCGCCTTGGATGGCATCATCTACTATCTCAAGCCTGACTGGTCGAAGCTGGGGTCCCCTCAGGTGAGGCAGAGGTAGTGGGAGGGAGACCAGGGGGCCAGCCCAACAGGGCCCCTCACACCTACTCTGCCCTGGCCCATGTCTAGGTATGGATAGATGCTGGGACCCAGATTTTCTTCTCTTATGCCATTGGCCTAGGGGCCCTCACAGCCCTCGGCAGCTACAATCGCTTCAACAACAACTGCTACAAGTAAGGACCTCTGCCCCGCTCCCCTGCCCTGCCTGCCCATGGGCAGCAAGCAGGCAGCCTAACCAGCTCCTGTGGTCCCCTGTGTCCCCAGGGACGCCATCATCCTTGCACTCATCAACAGCGGGACCAGCTTCTTCGCTGGCTTCGTGGTCTTCTCCATCCTGGGCTTCATGGCTGCGGAGCAGGGCGTGCACATCTCCAAGGTGGCAGAGTCAGGTAAAGAGCCTGGGCCCCAGCCTGGCCTCTGGAACAGAGGCTGCTGTCCTAACATACCTACAGGGTGCATGAACGCACATACAAGTCTACATTCTGAGAAAATTAAAAGATCAACTCAACGTTGTCACATTGCTCTAGGCCAGAGGCAGGCCTGGATGAGCAACTGCAAGGCACAGCTGTTCCAGCCAGCTTAGTGGGCCTGGCCACCTGGAGCCTTGAGCTCCAGGCCATCCATCCCCGGGGGCCTCTGGGTATGCTCTCATATTTGCCAATGTTGCAGAGGGGAAGGAAGGCCTTTCCAAGGTCAAAGGTAACCAGAAGCCCAAACCAGATACCCTCCTCCTATAGGCGGTCTGCCAAGAGCCCGCAAGAGCCTTCCAGCTCCTGGGTGGCACACCCACAGCGGGCTCAAGCCGTTCAGCAGTGCCTTGACATGAGGGGAAAGGCCTTTGGCCAGGGGCCCTGGTGTCTGCAGTCCTGGTACCACGAAGCAGGGGTGGGGGACAGGAAGTGGGCATAGCCACAGGTTTTCACATCCTGCCTCTTTCCCTCTTAGGGCCTGGCCTGGCCTTCATCGCTTACCCCCGGGCCGTCACGCTGATGCCCGTGGCCCCGCTCTGGGCTGCCCTGTTCTTCTTCATGCTGCTGCTGCTGGGCCTTGACAGCCAGGTTTGCAGGGGGTACAGGACAGAGGGGGTGGGAGGGGAGGGGCTGGCAGGTGGGCAAGGGCCATGGCCTGAGCACCTGGCCACAGTTTGTAGGTGTGGAAGGCTTCATCACAGGCCTGCTGGACCTCCTCCCGCCCTCCTACTACTTCCGTTTCCAAAGGGAGATCTCTGTGGCCCTCTGCTGTGCTCTCTGCTTTGTCATCGACCTCTCCATGGTGACTGATGTGAGTGGGGCAGGGTAAGGGCTGCCTCTGGCCCCTGGCTGCCATCTGCCACCTGCCCTGACCTGGCTCTATCCCTAGGGCGGGATGTACGTCTTCCAGCTGTTTGACTACTACTCGGCCAGTGGCATGACCCTGCTCTGGCAGGCCTTCTGGGAGTGCGTGGTGGTCGCCTGGGTATACGGTAGGTCTGGGCTGAGGGGCAAGAGGGGCTGTGGCATGGAGCAGGCGTGGTGGGTCTACAGTTCTAGCTGTCCCTTCACCCCACCCCAGGAGCTGACCGCTTCATGGACGACGTGGCCTGCATGATTGGGTACCGGCCTTGCCCCTGGATGAAATGGTGCTGGTCCTTCTTCACCCCGCTGGTCTGCATGGTAAGGGCCAGGAAGGCTGGACTGGATGGGGCAGGGCACCTCGGGCCACTGGCTAATTGCAGAATCTCTCCACAGGGCATCTTTATCTTCAATGCTGTGTACTTCAAGCCACTGGTCTACAACAACACCTACGTGTACCCGTGGTGGGGCGAGGCCATGGGCTGGGGCCTGGCGCTCTCCTCCATGCTGTGTGTGCCCCTCCACGTGCTGGGCCGCCTCCTCACGGCCAAGGGGACCATGGCTGAGGTCAGTTCTTCAACACCGCCCCTCCCTTCTATTTTAGTCAAAGCCTTACCTTCAGATTGTCTGTACCCCCGACCCCCAGGATGGGTCACTGTACCAGAAGCCTCTGGGCCAGCTGGACAAAAGGGACACTGGCTATCAGGGTCGTGGCAGGGGGAGGCAGCCTGTCCCTAGCTTCCGTTCTCAGCCACATAACCCTGTCTCCCTGGTGCAGGGAGTAGTGCCTGGTCGGTGTCTCGGGAGGAGCAGCCGTGGGCCCTGAGTTGGTGGCAGGTGGTGGTGGTGGAAAGAGGCCAAGGACAAGCAGGTGCCCCTCCCCGGGGGCTCACGATGTCCCTTTCTCCTGCAGCGCTGGCAGCACCTGACGCAGCCTGTCTGGGGCCTCCACCACTTGGAGTACAGAGCTCAGGACTTGGAGGTCAGGGGCCTGACCACCCTGACCCCAGTGGCTGAGAGCAGCAAGGTGGTGGTGGTAGAGAGCGTCATGTGACAGGGCCGGCTCCCAATGCCAGCTCTCCCTCTTGTAGCCATAGCAGCCCCTGCTTTAGCGCCTCCAACCCCTCCAGGGGGCTTGCCTTTCCCTGACACTTCTGGGGTCTGCCTGGGGGGGAGGGGAGGAAGCACCATGAGTGCTTGTAACTAAAATAACTTTTTCCATTTTTAATAAAATGCCAAAAATACCACAACCCACCAAAAATAGATGCCTCCCCCCACCAACCAAGCTGGTGCCCACGCTGCTTCCCAGGCCCTGCCGCCTGCCCTCCCCCTAGTGCCTGCTGCCTGTCCAGGCTCTGCCCAACACACCCGTGGGTGGCTCCTCACTCCAGAGGCAGCAGTGGCAGCTTAGGGAACAGAACGGGAAAGGGGAGGGAGGAGAGAAAGGGGCAGCGGAACCACAGTGAGTATTTCAACTGGGCTAGACCCCTCTCCCCATCCCTAATCTAGAAGCTTAGAGAGCCAGCCAGCAATGGGACCTTCTGGTTCCTGCGCCAATTGCCACCAATATCAATTGTGTGAGCTTGTGTATGAGTGCATGTGTGCGTGAGTATGTAGGGCACATATAGATCTCTATCTCTTAGCAAAGGGGAAAACCAGGTGTACACTGTGCCTGTGGGCAAATGAGGCTTGTATTTTGCACATTTTATAAAAACTTGAGGAGAGAGATTTCTGCTTGTATATTTCTAAAGAGAAAACAGCCCCGAGGTCCCTCTCCTTGCCACTCCCTGTCCTTTCAGCCCCTCCTTAATTCCTCTGCCCCAGCCAAGGAGTGTGAATTTATAGATCTAATTTTCATAGGCAAAACAAGAGCTTCAAGCTGTGCGAGTCTGTCGTGTGGGTATGCATGTGCGGTCCCCGGCCCCAGGCTGAGGTGGAAAAGTGCACAGTAGGGGCCTCGAGGGTGTCCCGCTACCCCTCTGCCCACAAGTCATGGGGGTGAGTAGGTGCGGTGTTCTGTCCCAGGAATCTGGGGCTGCTCACCTGGCATGCTCAAGCTTACCCACCACACCCTGCCCCCGGGGCTGGGCTGGGCAGACTGCAGGGAACTGAGGTGGGCACCAGCCAGGGAAGGGATCCAGGCTTGGCTCCCGCCTGCGAGCTTAAAGCTGATGCACTTTTCACGTCTCAAGTCTTCCACGTAGCAGCTTTACTTAACCCACGTCTGTGTCATATCTAATCCCGGGACAGCCGAGTGGACCCTAGAAAGACTTCCCCCACACCCTGACATCAGCTGGAGGGGAGGGACTAGGCGAGGGCGGGGGGCCAGCGGGGACATTCTTACTGTGCTAAAAGCCACTGCAAACATAGCAATAAAAACATGTCATTTTCCAAAGCTGGCTCCTGTTCTACTTGTCTGGGCGTTGGGGGTGGGACTGGAGGTACAGGGGAGGCCTCCCCACCTCGAGCTGTTTCCTTGGGCAAGTATTTGTTCTGGGGGGTCTCCATACCCGACAGTGTTCCAGGAACTGGGACTAGAGCAGGAAAGGAAGCTGACAGAAAGTCTTTCCCCCAAGGAGCTGACACACTTGGGGAGAAAGGATAATAGTATGCGACAGAAGCACACACCAAGCAGGGCAAGTGGGTGTGAGGTCACGGGCAGTGGGTGGGAAGTCACGGGTGTAGATTTTCCAAAGGTTGCCCAAATGCCACACTGAACACATGACTCTCCAAGATGCAGGCGGCAAGGGGCAGGCAAGGTGGAGAGGTGAGGTTACAGCAGAGCCGGGGGAAGGTGGTGATCACTGGACCAGGACACCAGCAGTGGAGGGAAGAAGTGCGGATCAGAGATCAGTTTGAAAGGTGGGAAACAGGGCTTGTGGACCACCAGGATGCAGGGTTGAGAGGAGTCAAGAAGGCCTCAAGAAATTGAGCATGAGCACCGTGAAGGGTGGCATTGCCAGGCCCTGTGCCAGGGAGACGAGGTTTGAAAGGGATGGCGGTGTCATCTGATTAGAGACCTCTATGACGGCAGTTGGACAAGAAGCCTGGAGCTCTGGAAAGTCTTAACTGAAGAGAGAACTTAGGAAGTTCTCAGCACATAAAGACAGCCCGGAAAGCCCTGAGCCTGGATGAGCTCAGCCAGGGCAGCCGGGAGTGGGTGCAGAGGGAGAGGCGGCCCGTGCACTGAGCCCTGGGGCCCTGGGGCACCCAGAGGTGGCAGAGGGACTGGTCAGTGGGTGGGATGGACCCCAAGAGTACAGACCTGATCCTGGAACATGTCTGAGGAACACCCCCCCCCCATTGGGGTCAGGAAAGAGAGTGCTCGGCTGTCAGATGCTGCTAATGGTCAAGGGAGCGAGGGCATGCCCAACCGGCATGGCTCAGTGGTTGAGCATTGCCTATGAATCAGGCGGTCAGGGTTTGATCCCCACTGTGGAGTATACAGGAGGCAGCTGATCAATGGTTCTCTCATCATTGATGTTTCTATCTCTCCCTCTCCCTTCCTCTTTGAAATCAGTAAACATATATTTTTTAAAAAAGGGAGCGAGGGCCTGAGAAAGTTGGCTGCGTTTGATGACAAGCTCATGGAGACCTGGACAAGAGAAGTTTGGGTTGGGGGTGTGCAAAAGCCTGATTGGAGTGGGATTAAGAAAGAAGGGCTGGAGCCTTAGCCGGTTTGGCTCAGTGGACAGAGTGTCGGCCCACAGACAGGATCCTAGGTTCCATTCCGGTCAAGGGCATATACCCGAGTTACCAGCTCGATTGCAGCCCTGGTCATGTGGCTCTCTCACGTTGATGTTTCTGTCTCTCCCCCTCCCTTCCACTCTCTTTAAAAATCAGTGGAAAAATATCCTCGGATGAGGATTAACAAAAAAAGAAAGAAGGGCTGGAAACAACCCAAGTGTCCATTAACAGAGGAATACATGAACAAATGTGGTCTATTCATACGGTGGAATATTATTCAGCCTATAAAAGGAAAATCTGACACACACAACATGGATGAACTTGAGGACGTCATGCTAAATGGAAGGAGTCAGACACAAAAAAGGCAAACACTGTATGATTCCATGCTAGGCGGCCGCTAGAGGAGTTAGATTCAGAGAGACGGAGAGTGGGCTGCTTGGTGCCAGCGGCTGGAGGAGGAGGATGGGGGTGAGTGCTTAATGGAGCAGTTTCAGTTTTGCAAGATGAAAAGTTCTGGGAATGGATGGCAGTGACACACAATGACATCCTTGACGCCAATGAAGTGTAATCTTAATGATTAAAATTGAAGTTTTAGGTTACATATATTTTAGCACAACTTAAAAGAAGGGTGGGAAAGAACTGGAGACAATGGCTCTATTCAGGTCCTTGTGGGCAGGACCTCAAGCACGAGAGGCTTCAGCCTTAGGTGAGAGCCGGGCGCTCTATCCAGTGCCACAGGAGCGAGGGCAGGATAAGGCATGGGCGCTGGGGGAGGGGGGCAGGCGATGTCAGGACCAGCTCAGTCATCAGCTGAGGCAGGCCTGGGGTGAAAGTCAAGGTTTAGGAGCCTGGTGCTCACTCTGGATGTTAGCCTGGACCCTCAGAGAAAAGAGAGTTTGTTCCTCTCTGGGCTCTTTATATAGCAAGGCATTGTCCCCTTAGTAAGGAGGGCCTTTAGCCCCAACTGTACAGCCAGGGAGGGCTCTGGCCTGTGATGCTACCATCAGCCATGCTCTGACGGTCACCAAGATCCTGGACAGGGGGCAGGTCCTCAGAGCTTGGGAAGGCCTTTCTACAGCCTGTGCTGGCGCAGAGGAGACGCCTCCCCAACAGGCCAGCTCCTGAAGAACGCCTGACAACCTGCTCTTCAGACTCAACCCCTGCCCCACCCTGCTTTAAGAGCTTCTCACGATGCAACCCCTCAGCTCTCATCATGCCTGCAACTTCCAGAACCCTGTGTGCTGGCAGCTCCCACATGTCCAGCCTGGCTCCTGGGGTGATGAGGCGCCTCACACCAGGCCCTGGCCCCTGGCAATTCCTCCCCACCAGCTGGACAGAGCCTGGTATCATCGCCCTCAGGCCCACTCCATTCCCATTCCACCCCAGCCTCACACCAACTCCTTACCCTCTCCACTCCCTAACAGGGATGCCATGCCTTGGCTCAGATCTTTGTCACCTCCTGCCAAATGGCCTCCAAGCCACCTGCCACACCACCACCAAAGACTCAGAAAACATTGACATCACCAAAAGAGAACCTGACAGAGGGTGGGCTGCCTGGCTGGGGCCAGGAGAGCTGTGGGCAGGCACCATTTACTCAGGAAGCTGCGCCCTGAGGTAGGAACTTGCGACACAGGGACAGGCAATCTAAGCGAAAGACAAGGAGGAAGTGGATCAGCCAGGGGGCCAGCCAGGTGGGGATGCTGGGGACAATTCTGCTAAGAGGAAGGCTGCTGGAGGAAAATAACTCAGGAGCAGCCAGAGGGGCTGGATACCGCAGCTGGAGACTAGATGGGTGCCTCGCCTTCCACCTCTAAGAGTCTGTGACCCCCAGCTACACAGACTCCTCTGCTCTGCCCAGCCCAGGGCCTGATGCCAAGGGGGCTCAGAGGCCGCTCGGGGCTGGCCAGGAAAGAACCCAAAGCCACACTGGTTGGACTCTGGCCTCTAGAAGTTTGAAGGGTGAGTTCAGAAGACCATGGTTGTCAGGGAACACTTCCTGGAAAAGCAGGACAAGCCTTTGGCCTTGGCATAGCAACCAGAGGGTGTCACCTGGGGGCCCCTCCCAGCAGGCACCACCCAGGGAGAAGTGGGAAGAGACAGGCACTGGAAAAGGGAGCCACCAGCCCAGGCCTGGCCGGGGCAGGAGGGGAGCACAAGGCTGGTTATCAGTATCACCATCTTCAGGGAACCCAATTCCAAAAGAATACACCCACCCCACTTGCTCCCCAGGTCCCTTGCCCAGTCCTGCCCTCGCCCTCAGGCTGACCCTAAGTACTAGGCCCTGCTCCATGGAGACTACCTACAGAAGCCAGCCTAGGGGGGTGCTGAGGGGCAGCAGGCTGGAGGAGAAAGCTCTCCAAGCAGACTGGCACACCTGCCATGTTCTCGGAGCTGCACCCAACCAATCCAGAGCCCCTCCCCTCCACCTAGCTCTGCCCTGGGCCAGTCATAGGCCACTGCCAAGGGCGAGACTCCTCTCCCAGCCGGCATTACTCAGAGGTCATCTTGCAAACCTTGGGAGGGCGGGGAGGGCAGGGAGTGACGTGGCACTCTGCCACATTCTGTCTGTCCTAAATGTGATGAACAGGACTCAGAGGCAGGCGAGTCTGCCACCGGGAGGACCCACCAGTTTACCGAGTCTAGCTCCCCTGGGCCCAGTGGCCAACCCCCAGGGAGACCAATAGGACAGACACATCCCAAGTGGCCATAAAGTGGAGCCTGGCCTGGGGAGCAGAGAGCAAGCATGAGCCTGGACCTAGCCTGGGGTGGGGAGCCTTTAAGTTGAAAGAAAAGTACCTGGAAGGGCAAAGACTGGGGGTCTCTGTCTGAGCTATCACTCCAGGGTGGGGGAGAAAGAAGCCTCCTCGCAGCCTGTTACACAGATACACAACGGACACTTCATAACAACCTTTATTGCCAAAAGAAACTACTCTGCCTGCTCCATCTGCCTGGCAGGACCAGAGAAAAGGGGCCTTGGAACCCCGAACATGAACGAGCAACACAAAAAGGGGCTCAACCCAGCAGGAAGCAAACCCCACTGCAAGGGTTCCAGGTGCCCGCCTTTTCATCCTGAGCAGGTGAAAATCCAGGCCCCAGTGGAGTGCTGGGAGAACAAGAAACTGTAAGCAGTGTGAGGGGCAGGAAGTGCAAATACCGAAGAAGGCCTGGCCCTCAGGAAGCAGCAAACATGGGCCAGGCCACGGCCACAGGTGGACAGGAGGTGCCTTCACTCCTCCTTCTTGTCCGTGGGACCATCTATCTTCATCTAAAAAGGGACAAAAATCAAAAAGCACTGGAGTGGCACACTCCTCCCCTTCGCCCTCTAGCCCCTCCACCCCAGAAGCCAGGTATGGCACCCCTTTTCCCCAAATGACAGGTATCCAGGTGACCAAAGTCCCCACCCTCAGCAGTACCCAAAAGCTTGCAAGGATGGGAGTAGCCTCATTCTAGTGAAGAGGCTCAACCCTAAGACCAGCTGACCCCAAACCAACACCTCCTCTTGGGCCCCACCCCGCCCCTGCCCCCATGCCCACAGCTCAGCTTCCAGGCCTTTCTGAGTCCCTTCCAAGTCCCTGGTCAGGCTCTTCCCAACTCTACACACCTTTTAGAGTTCATGCCTGCAAGTCTGCCCTACACGGAGGCTATTGGCCCCATCTGGGGGTTAGGCCCTCCCTCTTCGACCACTGTGGTGCCCAAACTTGGGTTGCCAAGCACTGAGGCAAGCTGTCAGAACTTAGGAGTGTTTACCTGGCCCTCATGCCCGATTTCCAGGCCATCTGAGCTTCCAGATGCAGCTACTCTGAGGGCTCAGACCAGGCCTGGAAGCACAGGTGATGGCAGTGACTAGCCCCTGCTGGGCTGGGGAAAGCCTGCAATGCCCCAGCTTTTTGCCCCTACATCACCCTGCAACCCCTACAGAGAAAAGGCCAGCAGCCAGTCCTGGAGTTCCCTGTATGCCTGTTGCGTGATGAGGCCCCTTCAGTGGTCTGAACTGGAGTGGACACCAGACCAGGAATGGGGATCACACAGGGCAAGAGCTCCTCTCAAGAACACTGATGCTGGGCATGACGCCAACCCCACAGCCAAGACCACCTTAGTAAGTGGCTGCCATCTGCTAGACCACACTCCTCCTGCCCAAGAAAGGATTCTGGCTGCTGGGCCCAGATTCAGCAACAACGGAGAAAGGGGGAGTGAAAGAGAGGGAGCAGCCCCTACTGCCAGGGGCTCTTGAAGGGCCTGCAGCAGGAGATTAGCGCCTCCCCCATGCAGAGGGGCCTCCCTTCCAACAGAGCAGGACAGGGCATGCTGACCTGTATCTTCCTGTGCTCCTCCAACAGGCGGTCATACTCCTTGGTCAGGCCCTCGGACTGCTTACGCATGGCCAGAGCCTCGTTTTCAGCTTTCTCTAGTTCTAAGTAATGAAAAGATGGGGATTAGTGAGAAAACCCTGCTTGTGTTGACATCAAATACAGACCCTGAATCTGTCCCCAGTGAGGTCTAGGAGACCACTCTTCTCAAGAAAGCTCCTCTGCGGGCTGCCCTGAGAGCCCCCCAAATGGGGAAGTTGGCCAACTAAGCTGGGGGAAGTGGGAAAATACCGAGGACCACCAGCCCCTTTAATGAAGATACCCGGAGTGGCTTCTGGCAGGGGTGATTTCAGGAAATCTGAAGGCATGGGACAAACATTCTGAGAATATTGGGAGTGACAACAAGAGGCAGGGAGCAGAAGCCCAGCCTGGAAGCTGAGGACAGGAGAGGAATGTTGGAGAGGCCTTCAGGAAGGGAGCATCTGGGAACTTGCTGTGGGGTTTGGGGGAACATCTCAACCAGCTCTCATTTAGTCTCCTGAGTTCTTTCCTTCCTTACCCGCGAGACCCTGGTGACAACAATGCCCGTACACCATGCCTGGCACTGGGCGAGATGCTCTGGAATTAGTTTTCAGGCCTCTGGGACTCCCAAGGCCCTGTTCAGCGGGCCGCCGTGTGCACCGCTAAAGCACTGAGCCCCACAGGCTGTCTGAGCTGGATGATAAGGGTGTCACTTGTTTGTTTACACCCAGCTCCTGAGCCCTCGTGTTTGTTATTAATACTTTGGCACAAGAGCAGTAGCAGCCACCAGCGGAGGCTCCAGACTTCTGGGGACCAGGGGACACCTGAGGACAGTGCTCACTTTGCTTGTTGGTGGCCAGTTCATCCTTCAGCTTCTTCAGCTCAGCCTGCAAGTCACTGTTCGTTAACTCCAACTTCGCCTCCCTGGCATCCAACTTGACTCCACCACCAGCAGCTTCCTAGGAAGAGTGCCAAGGGCCTGGTTACTTGGGAGAGAGGGAGGGAGAGGGGTAGAGAGAGGGAGGCGGCGGGGAGTTGGGGGGGAGAGGAAGGGAGGCACTCCAGCACCGTCCTCCCCACTGAGCTGTGATTCCTCAAGCTGCCTGGGCACTTGCCCCTTCGGAAATGTCAGCACGGAACTGGGCCACTGCTTGTTCCTAGCCATCAGGAAAGGCCAGAGCCAGAAGGGCCACCTGTTGCAGCTCACAGGGCACACACCCTGCCCACCCTGGCCCCCAGCCCTGCCTCCTTTCTCAGCAGCTCCTCAGAGCTCACCAGTCCATCCAATGAGTCAACCTGCTGTCATCTGGGGATGGCTGCCAGTCACTCCCAAGTGACCAATGCTCCTCCTTCCTCCCCGCCAGGCTCCACAGCTCACTCTGGCCAAGGAGCCCCAAACTCGACCCTACCGGTCCAACTCTATCCTGCCCCGGAATCCAAGCCCATCAGCCTCCTTCCCAGCTTGGCTCACACCTCACCTCTTCTCACAGACCTTCTAGGATTGGCTACACCCCATCCCTGCCACGTCCCCAGCTGATAGCAATGCTCTTCTGTGTTAACTTGCCCACCGGTCACAGCACAGGGCTCAGCTCATTAGGGAGCCAGTTTTACCAGGAAAGAATCTGGCCTGAATGTAGCAGGTAGAAGTGAAAGAGCAGCAAGAGCACCCCCTCTCGCTCCCAGCCCCCCAGTCTCCTCCTGTACATGCCCCCACTGAGAACTGCCCCTATGCCCCTCCACCCAATTCCTCGGCTTTCCCAATAACCAGTGTCACTGATAGGCTCACAGTGGCCCATCAAGAATGTCACATGATGGGGTCAGGCAGGCAGAACTCACCTTCAGCTTCTCATTCTCTTCCATATACTTCTTGGCCGCCTCACTAGCACTCTCTGCCTGCTTTTTAAAGGCTTCATTGGAGGCCAGCAGTGTGGCCTGCTGAGAGATGAGGGTCACCAGGCGTCTAAGCAGGCTGTGAATGTTTACAAAAAGGAAGAAGTGAGCAAAAGAAAGGGGAAAATGGCTGACATGAATTTCTCTTGGTTGCTCCCGCCCCATGCCTGCCTCCAGCCTAGACCTGCTCTCTTGGATTGCCAGGGCAGCCAAGCGAGACGCTGCAGGCCTGGATCTAGCAACATGAGGGAAAAGGTGGACCAGGGCTGTCCTCTGTGCCAGAATGATTAACACTGCCCCCAAATGGCAGGCACAGGAAACAGGAGCCTGACAGGACACCCAAGTGGGGTAAGCTATAGCCTAAGGGCCTGGAACCTAGCACTTTCCGGGTCAGGACCTGGAGGTGCCAGAGAAGCCAGAACAGTGCCATTTTCCTCAATGCAAGGTCAGGTTTGCCCTAAACAAGCAGTTAGTGCCTGGGGGCGCTTCCAAAAAGCCAGCCAAATCCTTACACCTACCATGTGAGGTAGGGGAGATCATCGCCCCCATTTCACAGGGGAGAAACTGAGGCTCAACAGGTTAAGGCAACTGGTCAAGGTCAAGAGCCAGAAGTGGGTGTGGCTAGAATCCCCACTCCTGTCTGTCTGACCCCAAGGCCTGAGCTAGGAACGACTATACGTTTTAAATTTCCAAGGACCCACTCCCAGGCCAACTGAGAGAAATGGAAATGGCTCTTTTTCTCCCCACCCCCATCCCAAACATGTTCTACAGGCAGCTGCTAGAACACATCTGTTAGATAATATTGCCACACTGAGGGCCTCTGTGGCTAGGAGAACAGAAACGAAGAATCAGGGCCAGCCAAGCCATGAGAGGCAAACAGGCAGCAGTTGGGGGCACACGCTGCTCCATTTCCTGAAGTCACCCTCAAATGGTCAAAACTGAGGGGTGCGGATAGACAACTCTCCCCATACACCTGGGGCAGGGACCCAAGCCAGCCATAGCTTGGAGGAAGACATGTATGTGCAGGAGCCCTGGGAAAGCGGGAAGGTCTGCTTTGTCCAGGCCCATTCCCAGGCCCGCCAGCTGGCCTTCATGGGGTTCTCATAGACACCTGCTACTCAGGCAGCCCGAGGGAACAGCAAGTAAACAAGGCAAGCTCTCGCTGACAAGACACCCAGGACTGAGGGCCTGGAAACCGGCACTTCCCAGATTAGGACCTAGAGCCTGGGCCATCAGAAGCCCTGTCAAAAACAAGGACTTAGAGGGGAGCAGGCTCCAGGGGACCTGAGATGCCCACCTTGCTTCCTGGGTTGGGCACAGGTTCTAGGGGCCCATGGCAGTACTGGGAGAGCCAGGCCGCTGGTTCCTGGCAGGAGGGGAGAGTTTCCAGTGACATGTGCTCTCTAAAATTAGCAGCCGGGACCTCGTGGCCCAAGGCTCAGGTTTCCCTGTCTCAGCCCCTGCCTGCCCACCAGCCTGCCCCCCACTGGGCTGAAGCCCTGGAGGTGGAGGGAGCTCCCGGGTACCCCAGAAGCCAGAGAGAAGAGACGTACCTGACTCAGAGGAAGTGGAAGTCAACTGGAGGGGCCCAGAAAGAAAGGCAAGTCTGACTAAGCCCCAACCTCCCAGCACAGAGCCCTTAGGCCAATCCCTAGCTGGAGCAGGGAGGGGGGGAGGGCATGTGTGCCACCTGGTGGACCCAGCAAGCAAAGCTGGAGAGGCAAGCCCAAGGGTGACACTTCTCCCTAACCGCCCCACCAACAATGCTGGGCAGGCAGCTGACTCGGGCAGGACTCCAACGGTGCTGTGCAAGGTTGGGCCCAGGGTGGTGGTGGCGGCAGCAATGACAGCAGCAGCACAGCAGGGACCCATCTCTCCTCGGTACCCTCCCAACCCATCCCCAACTATGGAGCACCAGGGTTGCCAAAAGAAGCCTGGGAAAATGCAGAACCCAGCACAAGAGCCGTCCAGGGTCCTCTTGAGGCCTCAGCCTGCTCGCCCCACCCCCCACGTCAGCTTGCAGCTCTTAGGGTCTCCCTCTCAGTGCAGGGCAGGCACCCCCCAGCCCCGTGTGTTTCTTGTCATGTTTTGTGTCATCCACGTCCTCTCCCTCCCTTCCTGTTAGACCTGTTTCTTCAACCCGGCCCAGAAAGATTCTGGGCAATTCTTCCCTCCATGAACCTCACTCCTCACCATTCTCCCTCCTGCCAACCCAAGCCACTCCCCCTCCTCCTACTCCCTCTATTCCTAAACCTATGCCAATCTAGGCCACAGCCTGGCCAAGCCACTAGCAGGCCCACCAGTGCCATAACCACCCAATCCAAGGAGCGCCCTGGAATCCTTGGGGGGGGGCGGGGGGGGGGGAGTTCACTCTGCAGCATTGGAGCAGCTGACAGAATCATCCCCTGCCCTTGATTCAAGCAACCCTGGCTGCCTGCCAATCGCCTCCCTGACAGGGTTTATCTCAGCCCAGACCCTTATGCCCAACTGCCTACTAGACCACGGCTGCTGAGTGTCCCAAGACATACCCAATGCAGCCTGTCCACGAGGGCCGGATCGCCCCTGCACCTCCCAAGCTCTCAGGCCTCCACCCCTCCCCCAAGCCATTATCTAGTCCTATCCATTTCAACTCCAGACAGACGACTCCCCGAGTCATCCCCATCACAACTTCTGTCCTGGGTGGTGTTAGCAGCTACTAACTGGCCTCCTCCCTAGTGGTGACTGTACTGCTTGGCAATACATGCCCTAAGAGAAGCCAGAGTGATCTTTCTCCAAGACTATCCGATCATGTCACCCCTCTGCTTCCATCCCTCCAACACCTGCCCTCAGCCTCCGGCTGGCACACAGCTCTCTGCTCTAGTAACACCAAACCACTGGCCCTTCTTGGAACACGCAGGGTTCTCACCTGCCTTGTTTCCCTGCCCCTACACTCAGCGCTCCAGTCTGCAATGGCTCCTCCCCTTCTGTTTGTGAACTCTTGCTGAGGACTCAAGACCCAGCTCAATTTCTACCTGCCCCCCAAAAGCCTCTCCTGATCCTCCTGTGCCCCATCCAGTTGCATTCGTCTGGCTTGTTCTCATCGCTCTGTATCGCTTGTTCCTTGTCTGGCTGCCCAGGGACCCGGGACTGCACCTTTGATCTCTAGATGGACCCCCAAGGCCCTGGAAATGACCTCCCCACTCTCACGTGTGTGAGGCTGCACCTCAAGCCAGGGCTGAATGCAGGTCTGGGGCCCTGGCTCTTCCCTGACCTGGCTGCACTGAGGGGGACACAGGTCACGGAGCTTGCCCGTGCAGCAACAGGGTAGCAGGAAAGACCAGCAGGAAGGCACCAAGTCAGGCCTGTGCGGATGAGCAAGCTAGGCTTGCGGCTGCAGTGGGAGCTGAGAAGGCACTCTGGGAAGCACTCATCATCACAGCCGGGGCAGAAGCCAGTGTCCTGGACCTCATCCACAGGGTGTTCCCATAGGGCCCCATGCTAAGCCAAGCGCAGTGCTCCCTAGCAGGCCAAGTAGGCCTGCCTTGGAGTTGGCCTTCTAGAACTCTCACTGCCCCTCACACACTAGGACCCATGCTTTTTGCACCTGCCCTACACTCACCTGTCTAGATCCAACTCCAACACTCCCCCTGTGACCCTGCATCCCCCCCCAGACCTTCCCAAACACATCAATGCGCCCTTGTGTGTCCCCTCAGTGCCCATGATGGAAGGCGCTGAGCTTCAGACTCTCCAAGTCTCAACAGCCCAGGAGGTGTCATCCTGGAGAAAATGTTGAGGTACTGCTTCTCCCTCTCCTGCTGGTACAGCCTCCATTGTTCTCTGCTTTACCACCCAAACATTATTATGGGGATAACTGCTCTTAGCTACCCATTTCTGGACAACGGGTCAGACAGAACTCAGGAGCCAAAGGGATTTCCCAAAGAAACGTGGCTGACAGAGGGGCCCAGGTTCTGGGTTAAATGCCCCCAATGACAGAGGAAAAAGCCAGCACACGAACCTTGAGAATCCAGAGGTTTCCTTGGCAGACTAATGTCACCCCCAAATACCTGAATTCAACACAAGTTTCTTGGTTAGATGTTTTTGGACACTGAGCGGGACTCTGGTGCTTTTATAAAAGGTTGAATAAACAAGAGAAGGCAGGAGAAAGCGAATCTCTGTAAGGACACTAGAGAACCAGGGCCAACCATATCAAGTCGGGGAGACGTGCTTCATATCCTGTCTCCCTCCTGTGGGCTTAACAGGAAGTGGGACAGAAGCAAGGGGGAAGGTCCTTCCAAGTACCGAATGGAATCTTCTATGGTTATAGTAGCCCCCCATCCCTGCTGTCCGGTGCAAGTGGGAAGCTGGCGCCACAGCGCCACCTGTTGACTCTCCAAGCTGACTACAGCCTTGCCCCAGTCAGGGCTTCCCAGGGTGGGTGGATTCTGGGTGAACTTTCCCCAGCTGTTCAAGAAAACAGGAGGGTGCCCTGGCAAGGAACCAAAAGCCAGGTCATACCCCAGGAAACGGCTTCAGGCATAGCACTGTAAGAGGGCAGAAGCGGCCCCCGGAACTCTCACTCTGAAGAGCCTGGAGTCATGAAAATAAGGAGACAGCAAAGCAGATCCAGGGACCATCCTCCCACAGGGTTGCTGGAGTAAATCTCAGCATACCCACTCAACCTTCCTCTCAGCCCTGGAGCAGAGGTTGTAGAAAATGGGGAGGGGGAAACATCCCTGTGGCAACTCCAGCTAAAGACCCAGGTGGCTGTTGGCCACCCTGACAACAAAGTCAGCTAGAGGGGGACAGGGCAGGGGTATGCAGTCAGTCCTTCCAGCAACTGCCTGTCCTCCACCCTCTTAAGCTGAAGAGCACTGGGGGACAGGAGCAAGCTATGTTTCCAGGGGTTTTGTAGTGTGCCTTCTAGAAACCAGCCAATGGATTTTGGGGGACAGAGAGCAACTGAAGGAGGTCAGACAACCCAGGCAAAGATATTCTGAGACTAGCTGACTCCAACAAAAACATGCTGCTTGTCCACCTGGCTATGGAGAAGTAACTCTGAAGGCAGTGGCAGGGAAGGGGCCATCACCCCTGGATGTGTCC